AGAAATCGTGTGAGAATTCTATGAGATCACCTTCTTTTTAGTCACATTATTCTTGATTTTCTAATTTACAAATACATTTTCCTGCATCAAACATTCAAAGTGTTTGCTTATTTTCTGCTAGAGAATTGGAAATGTTACGTTGAGAGCGCAACTGGAAGATGTGGACTCGTTGTCTGAGGAATTAATTGATGGCACTATGAACAAATTTTTGGAACAAGTCAAAGATGGTACTTGGGAATCTGGCGGATGGCCGCAGGTATATACAGACTACTCGTTGTCAAAGCTAGCAGTTAATGCCTACACAAGGCTAATGGCGAGAATTCTGTCCGATCGGCCTGAGGGTCATAAAATATACATCAATTGCTATTGCCCAGGATGGGTTAAGACTGCCATGACTGGCTGGGCTGGGCATATTCCTCCTGAAGATGGGGCTGATACAGCAGTTTGGCTTGCACTACTCCCTGAGCTGTCTGTAAGCGGCAAGTTTTTTGCAGAGAGACGTGAAATCAATTTCTAAACTTGTGATTGACTATTGTTGTTGAATTTGAGTTACAGTCTACTTTGTATTTGGCCAAGACCATGCGTAACCAGAAACAACAGAAGGAAAATATATCCGTTCAGAGTCTTGTGCTAGGATTTGCCTTTGAAACTGCAGTGTTTCCAACTTAGCTAGCTGTTGGAGTAAAGAATCTACTGGGCTGTCATAGAGATTTTTGGTCGCATACCAACCTAACTCAGGCAACATGGCGATGGATGGAGGCAAGAGCCGAAGGAAATGCAAGACAATTTTAATCTAGCACCAATAGGTTTCTTTTCAGTTGTGCAAGTTTCTTTTCCTTTGCCCATGTTTTACTTTAGAAACCAATCAGCTCAACAAGTAAACGCAATAGCAAATTCTCGAGGTTCGAATAGTGTATCCTCACTATGAATGTTTTTTTTTTCGCCTGTTTTCTCTGGAATATTTGACCAGTGATATAATATGTGCTCACCATGTTACAGTTAAATTATGCGTAATTTCTTGGTTGGTATATTAGGAGGAAGGAAATTTGATAAAAAAAAAAAGTATTGCCATTCAAAATTGGAGTTAAAAATGATGCATTGAGTTGATCTACTCAATAGATCACCATTGTACTTTTACTACCCATTATTGTCATTTCTTCTCCTGTTAAATCATCAACAGGCACAGGCATGCACCACAGAAAGCAATTTAAGTTTTTACTAACATCTATTAACAATTAATGTCCCTTTGAACCAATATATTATTGTAAAAACACTCTTGATTAAAAAAATAATTTAATATAATAATCACCAGAGATAGCAATAAGTCGAGTCAATAACATCGAATTCAATTTTGATTAGGTTCGAATTTGACGAATATTTTATTCAAACTCACTCAAGAAAATTTTAAAGAACTCGAACTCACTCAAGAAAATAAAATAAATTTGAACTTGAGTCGAGCTTAAATTCTTTAATAATAATAGTAATAAAGATTTTTATAATTTCACTATCAAATATACACGTGTATGTGAAAATTTTGCAAAGCTCACAAACTTTTGAGTCGAATACATTAATTTAAAGTTTGATAGCTTCAGCTCGAATGAGCAATTGAGTGAGCTGCGAGAGGAATTTGCGCGTTTTCCCGGGAAACCAGGCGGACTGGACATTACAAAGCCACGCTAGCACCGCATGTACGATGCAAAATAAATAAAAACAAAAAAAAATCCCAATTTCCATCGGTAATCGTTAATAGCATCCCAAAACTTAGAATTCTTTATTCTTCAAATCAAAAGAGCAGTAGGTAAGAACCCAATTCCAATTTCCTCCAGATTCAGAGAATTACAGAAATTAATCATCTACTCCCTGACTTCTCTTGCTTTAGAACCTCAAGCAGAAGGTTCTACACGGAGGCCCAAGATGTAAGTTTAAACTCCTTTCCAATTTTTGGTTAGTAGTTGGTTGTTAGGCCTAGGATTATATTTCTGACCCTTTTTTTGAAGCTTTTTGTCATTGATTTTTTTTTTTTTTTTGGATGAAGATTTGGGAACCCCAAGCATTGCAACATTTTCAAAGTCCCGTCGTCTGAGGTAATTTCATACAAGAAATTACGGTTTTGTTCCCTCTTTCCATCAACCACCATCCATGTCTTGATTTTACCGGTTGAATTTTTGAATATCGCGATGAGTTTTAGAATCCTGCCGGAGTTGGAGGTTCTAAACTGATATGATTGTTCTGTCCATTTTGTTGTATTTTCCACACACACACACACACTCTCTCTCTCTCTCTCCTTATTAAATTTTGAGTTTTGTTGAGATTGGTTTCTATTCTTGATAGTAAAGCAATGATCTTTACTGTACAAGTTTTTCTTTTTCAGTTCATTTTGATGTTTTGATTTACATATTAATTTTGGGCTTCTGGTAGCATTCATTTACAATAGCCTAGAAGGAAAATGCTGTAGAGGGGATAATTTAGAAATCTTTGTAATTTGTCATAGTTGTTTATTGCGAATTTGAGCTTAGATGAGTTTATTGTGTAAATCTACTAACTGAATGGGAAGGAAAAGGATACTTCATATAGGCTCCTTTTAGCTGCAGTAGGTTTGGAAGCAAATTTGCAGCTTTTATGATTTGTATGTGAAAGGAGTTTAGAAAGGAATGCTTTTTAATAATGTAAATGATAGTGCTATATGATGATATTTGGTTTGATGCAACTCTAATCCAGAATTGAGTGAAACAAAAAATGCAGATTAGGTTAGATGTAGATTTAGAAATGGAAGTTGTTGGATCTAATTCCAGTTCTCTAGGGTTCTCAAGATCAGCAGTCTATTGTGACCCATACAAGGAAATCTGGAACTAGAAGTACTATTTGCCAAATGATGGGAATTAGTGGGTGTCGTTTTTAAATCATACAATAACTTGATATAGCATCTGATTTCCAATTTAGTTCTGAAAATTGGACATGCCAATATGCAGCCTTTACCAAGATGGCAAATTTGAGAAGGGCTCTTCTTTTCACCATTCCTCGCATTCTTAATTCCTCGAATCAGACCTCAGTTGCCACCTCCACAATGTCCTCTCACAATATTTACAGGTTAGAGACCTCATACAATATTGTTTTATCTATATTTATATGCTTACTTTTTATTTGATCATTTTTGTTTCTGCTCTTTTAGGCCAATTCTTGGTTCATTGCCATGTTTTTATTCTTCAAATCAGGCCCTGAATATTGATCTTTCCAATGAAGAAAGCAAGAGGCGGTTGTTTAATAGGTATTCTGTTGTGTATTGATTATACCTTTTGTTTATTTTGCCCTTTTTACCATTTGATTTTTCTTTTGTGTAGTCCAGCTTCACTGATACTCTTTGCTAAATTTTAGGCTGCTCTACAGGAGCAGACAAAGAGGGTTCCTGGAGCTGGATTTGATTTTGGGGAGATGGGTTGAAGATCATATTCATTCTATGGATGAAAATGGAATTAAAGCCCTTGTTCATGTCCTTGACTTGGTATCTTTGTTTGTCCTTGACTTTTCTGCTTCTCAACCGTTCAATCTCACTTTTCCTCAAATGATTGGAACTTTACAGGCCCTTCACCATTTGATTGAAATTAAGTTGTATTAAGCCTCGTCTTCTAGTTTTCATGTTTGTTATAAGGTGGCATTTTGTTGGTCTGGATATCTTATTGGTTTGACTCGTCTGAACTGTTCATCCTACCACTGGATGACTTGGCTGTTTCATAGTAGGATATCGCAAATGTTGCTCAGCATATATGGTATGCATGATAGCACACGTCAGTTTAGGTTTCCGTCTTATGAGACACGTAATGTCTGACCTGGCCCAGGATTTACAGTTTCTGCCATTTTAATTACGTGCTCATCTTTCTTGAGCTTCTGGTCTCTGACAAACAAAGCACTGATAATTGATTCGTCTGGCTCAAATTAATACTATATATATAGATATATATTTTTATGGTTTTGGATAGCCACTTTTACTTGATTTAGTTGACTATGCTCCCCTCTTCATTGTTGTTTCCATATGTATTGGCAGGAAAATCCGGACTTATGGAAGTGGTTGACTGGTCAGGGGCAACCTCCAGAGGCAGTAAGAATGAATCCTGTGAGTTAAAACTGAAAGTTGTTTGTTTTGGTTTTATTCTTTAATACCATTTATTGCACTCTGACGCACTAAAACTGTGGTTGCAGGTTTTTGCTGATGTGCAGAAAAGGGTAATGAACAATCTGAACAGCCATGCTTCTCCAGAGACAAGAGCAACTCCTGGGCAGCCATGGGTGAGGGGGTGGGATGATTTCAAGAAAGGACGTGATGGCCCAGTGGTGGGGAATCAGTAACGATATTTGATCCTGAAGGGTCAGCTGTTGCCGTTCTCTGTCATGCCGGCTGTAGCATAGAGCGACACTAGAATATATTTACCTAAAATAAATCATGTTATTAGTACTGTGTTTTTTACTTTGTGATAAGGCTGTGCATGAGGGAGACTGTATTAGATTTGAAACACATGCTGTAATAACTACAAAACTTGATAGCCTTCCATGACAAGCTCTGCCTTTATCGTCTTCTACGTGATGCAGCAATTTGTATTGTGGGTGTGAAATAAGTTAGCCAGCCACTCGTTCCATTGAAAAGTTTTACTTACTTTTACACTGAGTGACGGGAGAATTTTCTCAAGTTACCTACCCAAAACTGCTGCGATGCAGAGCCACTTTTGAGCAGGAAAAAAGAGTTTGGACATCTCGGAAGTAGGCATGTTGAAACATCGGTATGCGTCCATCCCTACTTTTGTCAGGGAAGCCATTGATGCTTAAGCATAAATAACTGATAATTTACCTGCCCTGGTGCATCCCATGTTTCTTTTGCTGCATTAAACGAAGAAAGCAGAGGATGCGGACAAACAGTGTGTCAAAATGGACGAACCGAAATAGACTCCCCTTTGTGGCCCACATAAAAGAACGCAAGCGAATTATTTACACAAGACGAGAAAAACCTTATCAACATTAAAGCCCCTTTCTCACCTCTTCCTTTTCCTACTCTCCCTGAGGACCCTGACCGTTGCACATTCCAGTCTACGGACTCTTTGAAGTTCAGTAGAAAACTGACATCTGAGAAAGAGAAGGGGGGGGGGGGAAGAAAATGCCTAACCTCTCTCCTAACAAGTTCATCTTCTACTACTTCTTGACCACTCTTCTCTCTGAATCCTTCCTCTGCTTTTCCTTGATTGCCTCAGAATCTACAGACCCAATTCCAGTCCCATGGCCAGAACAATTCCACTCAATTCTTTTCGTGAATAACAGTAAGGGATCTCTACAAAAGGTTGACCTGTGGTATGACTGGCCAGGAGGCAGAAACTTCAACATCATTCAGTACCAGCTGGGAAAGCTTCTTTATGATTTGGAATGGGACAATGGCACCTCTTACATTTACACCTTGGACTCCAACAAAGAATGCAGAGTATTGCATTTCCCAGTGGGAATTCTAAGACCAAATTGGCTCGATGGTGCAACATATCTTGGTCAGAAATACATGGACGGTTTTCTCTGTAATGTGTGGGAGAAGGTTGATTTCATTTGGTACTATGAGGATGTGGTCACCAAAAGACCTGTTTATTGGGCTTTCTTCACAGGTAAATGACTTTTGTTATTCTTGTTAATTCTGTATCAATGAAGCTTGTAAGATGTGTTATTATTAGTCTAGCTTTGCATAAAATCTGAATTGGTGACGGTCATATTTCTAACCTTGAAAAACTGTTGCATTTCTTCCCTTGGGTTCCACCACCACCCACCTCCCCCCCAAAAGGGATAAACTCGTGTGGACCTGGTTTTGGGGAGATTGATGCTTCAGATGCTCGTAATGTGCGCATGATCATTCATTATTCTAGGAATGCACAAGCATTTAATGTAGCCGCGTGGAATTCATGTAAATATTAGTTAAAATTAGAAAGGTTATACACAAGCATCTGTTGCTCCAGTTTAAAGGTGTCTCAACATCTTGGAATTTTGCACCTTTTTTGTTTTATATAGTTGTTATATGTGTGGTGGTCGAAATTGCTGTAGGAATGGTAGCACATGTGATGACATTTGAGGTTGGTAGTGTCCTTGAAGACCCCGAGTGGCAAGCTCCTGTATACTGCTTCACGGAGGCCGTAGAGGAAACAAAACCTGTGCTTGATACTTTGGGTGGTCCTGTTTCTCGTGCAAATCTGATGAAGGGAGGAAAACTTATAAGTATGTGAATTAATGTCTTTTTATTGCAAGTAATTATCAATGAAGCTGGATGATTTTTAGTCCTTTCTTCTCGGGTATTTCCGTTTTCCCTTTCTGGTTATCAAACTAGTAAACATTTCTTTATCGCAAGCAAACCAAAGACTTGGAAGTGAAATGAAACTTGGCAATTCTGGAATCAAATTCCAGGACAGGGAAAGCAAAAATAAGTATAGAAATTGTGTTACCAGTTTTTCTTTATTATATAGTTGCACACTGAGTTGGCCCTCCTAGCAATAGCGTAGTCCCCTCTGCAGCATTAGCATAAAACATGCAAACCACATCCTTGCTGAATCTGCGTTGCATAATCCGATGGAGAAACTTCATCTCAGTCACCAACCCACGTCCAAGCTGTGGGTCAAATGGAAGTTTGTTTGCAACTGGAAAGTTTAAAGACTTGAAAGTGGTGTTTAAATTTTAGAAATATGGTACCCTTTTTATTTTTTGTTTACTATTTCATTATCTTCTTTCACCAAATTACAAGAATAGTCAAGATTCATGTAACCTGTTATACATGTTAATGAGGGTATAGTCAGCGTATGGTATGGGTAGCTAGCAAATCAAGAAACTCGAGATAAGTTTTGAGTTTGAGCGAGTTCCCCAATCGTCATCCTTGAAACAAAATATGAACCATAAGAGTTAAGCTATCCCCAGATGCATAGGAGGTGCTATACTGAACAATCTTAGGCACATTCAGGATGGTGTCGCTATCTTACCATCTTTATTTAGATACATGCAAATGCCATACCTTGTTTGTGAAGAGGAGGAGAAAGAAAACTGCACTTAAAAGAGTTATGTAAACAATAATAATAAGCTGCTGAAGGACATTCACTAAGCTGACAAATTGTACATATTTAGTTATTTAATAGAAAGTGCAAATGAAGTACTATCACTTCTATGACAAACTAGATTTTCCTCCTGGATTCTACGGATTTATCAACTGGCCGAACACTTTTTAGATCCTCGGAGCATATTTCCGTCTGTTGTGCTTGAAGAAAATGCAACCTTCAAATCTTTGCAAAGAGAATGGAAGATCCTATTCTCTTTGCCACCCCCTATACCCCAATGCAAGTAGGTTGAGTTGGCCTGAATTTTCAGATCAACATCAACGACTCCCTCTGCGATTCTATCATCATCAGCAATCGCAGTCGCGACAGAATGTCCATCTCCTTGCAACCACGTCTTTGGTTGTACAATTAGCCTCGTCTGTCTTCCGGGTTCTTGACGAAATTGTTGACCAACGATTGCCTTGGACAGAAACTCAGTATTTTTGTAAAAAATTGATACCTCAAGATTTTCGAAAACGACAGAAACATGTTTACAAGGATTCCTTATCAGGATTCCTATACTCCAATTTCCTGTCGTTTGATTATTACTAGATACATTTGTAGGAGATAGTAGGACAGAATCAACTCGAATCTGGGGGTGCTCGATCGTGTTATAAACCCCTTTTACGAGTACAACGTAAATTGCTAAACAAAAAATTACTCCAGATATGATGACCATCCAACAAGGAGTAGTGGGGTGATCATCTCTTGGACGAAGTCTTTGGTACATGTAAGCATGGTTACAACTAGTGGAACGTTCGTGGACACTGCAGGCTGGGGATTGGAGGGGTTTAATATTTTCTAGAGCTGATGAATAATTCTGTGAGAGAGCAACAACAGGCTGGGAGAGATTGTTTTTTCTGTGTTTATCTTCTGCAACCGAAGAACCCATTGTCAATGATCTTGTGAGTTAAAACTACGTTAGAATTGGGGAACTCACAAAAGAAAGAAGGACAATACATTGGCATCATTAGTTACAAGAATTTTATTTCAGGTGTGCTAATGACTCTTTGTTTCAAGTGGGGGAACTTCCTGAACTCGCAGGAAAGATGGGATCTGATTTAGGGTTAATACAAGCTCCTAATCCTATCATGTTTTGATTTTTATCGTGTTCTAAATTTCTAATACAAGTGCAAGTAAAATAGAAGTGGAGATAATGTCAGAATTTTACGGTGGGTAGACCATTTTAGTGTGCTTATCCTATACAAAATTGAAAAAAGCTGTTGGTTGATTAATATTGACTAGTATTATATCTCTTTAAATTGATGCGACCATTGCTAAGAAGAATCTCAGGTATCATAATTGATATGTTAATTTTGTACACCAGAGACCTATATGAAGAGGGAGAAAATTAAAGCCTATGGAATCAAGGTCCATTTTTCAAGAAATTTTTTCCTTAGGAGTGAAAAAAAAAGGTCCACCTACCTAAGTATGTGAAGAAAACAAACCTAATTTTGAAAAATATTATCGCTACGAAGTATCTGATCCAATAGGGCAAAACTTGGGTAGACCTGGTCTTTATAAATCCAATTACTCAGATTGTGCCACACCATTTGACGAGATGATGTAGCACGATTTGAACCATCAGATATTTGAAGACCGGGGCTACCCAACTGTGAGCCGGTCCAATAAGTATTTCCAAGTGTGAGCCGGTCCAAAAAGTATTTAAGTCTAGAAGCTCTTAACTAAGTACCTTGCAATCTCCAATAATTTTTACGAACAGCCCCAAATTTTGAAGGCTCTCTTCCACCATAGGACCGCTTAACTATCTCTTTCAGGTTTGCAAATAAGACCCGGAATTTAGTATTAATACATGATCCTTCCTACTTAATTTTCACACTTGAAAGCGCTCTTTCTCCAAACAATTTTATTCGCTTCTCGGTTCCTCTTCACTTTTATCTCTGCAGTCCGCTGTTTTTTCTTGATTGGTAGTTGCTATCAAATCCAGAGCAATTTCGGTCGACCACGACCCTTTCAACAGATTCTCAGTTTTAGCTGGGAAAATAAATGAGGGCAGCATGGCACTTTCTCTTCGAGTCATTGTTTTGAAAACCGGACTGGACCATAGAAATTAAGCTGTAATGTTCATGTACATTGAAATTAAGCACCAGAAAGGAAAGAGATAAAAGACTGAGGAGAACAGTGGAAAAAAAAGAAGGGATAAGTTTAAACAGATTATAAACAAGATTGTAGCTCAAATCTCTTTATCATTAGACAGAGGACAACAAAAGATGGGACCCTTATCTTGTTATTAGAGGTGGCAATTTGTCCCAAGTCCCAATGGGTTACCCATGCCCATAGGGACTTTGGGCGGGATGGGTACTAGAATTTGATATTGGGTTTAAAATGGGACAAATCCCAATTGTACCCATTAATTGATGGGAAATTTTGGAAAATACTTGGGTACCCATTAGGCTCAAATAGCAAGGGCTCTGTTTGGATTAGCTGTTTTTTGGGGTGTTTTTGAAATATTTTATTGTCGCAATGTATATGAAAAATTTTTACTATAAATTTTTTTTGAAATATTTGATATACTAATATGGATGAGATATTTTTTGAGTTATTGTATATTACTGTAACATTGTATTTGAAAAATTTGTTTTTTGAAAATATAGCCAATCCAAACGGAGTCTTAGATTCAAAAATTATCTTTAACAATTTTTATAGTCATACCAACGAATATAATCTAGCAATCTTCCTAGTCATTATCCATAAGAATTTCCAGCATTTCAGTCAGTTTAGACCTGTCATCCTTGGACAATGATGAGGATAAATATTCGACACCCTAAGTGCCTTGGCCATCTTGATATATGTTGGAATATGGCTGTATTATATCTATCTTTTCCTTTATTTGTTAATCCAATTTTTGGTGAGAATCCTGAGTATAAAGCACTTGCATGTTTATTTAATAAAACTAAAAGAAATTTAATAAATCAAAAATCTTAAAGTTATATAAAAAATAAAAAATGAATTAAAGGAAAAATATATATAGAAAATAGATTTGGGTATTGGGCGGGATCAATTTAAACCCATCCCAAAGTGATCCCGCCCAAATTAGTCCCAAAACACATATGGGTAAGGTTGGACCCAAACTCATATGACTCGATTCCATCTTAAACCCAAGCAAATCCCGCCTATTTTGCCACCTCTACTTGTTATACTATATCTTTACAATGGTAGCCATATATACTTTATCGTGTTATTAAGGGGAAAAAAGAAAGAAAAACCATATTTAGATAAGTGCAAATGTATTACGAGAACAATAGATAACTGCGAAAAACCAAAGGCTAATGACTAAACTGACTTGCGAATCACATCCAGAAAATGCAAATCAAGTATCCCTCATCTACTTGAACAATCATCAAAAATCAGATTCTCCATTAGAAGCCAAAATACAAAATGTAAATAGAATAGTCGACTCCATAGTTAATTATATGTATGCATCTCCAGATAGCCCGCGATCAGACATTGTTTTGATCCTCCGAGCAGCATCTCACCTTCAGTTGCATAAGACGAAAATCCAACTTTCAAGTTCCTGCAATGAACATCGAAAACAAGATGATATCTCTTGTGAGTAATCTTCATAATATAGGTTGAATTGGCCCAAACCCTCAAATCAAAATCAACAGCTCCATCAGCCCTTGAGTCATTAGCAATGGCACTCGCGACTGAACTTTCCAACCACGCTTTTGGATGCACCACAAACCTCGTCACATCCATTGGTGCTTCACGAAATGTTCCAATTGTTTCCGTGGAAAGAATCTTCGTGGCATCGTACAAGACTGATACCTCAATATTTTCAAAAGTGACAGCATGGTGCTTAGCCGGGTTCGTGATCGAGATCCCTATGCTCCAATTTGCTGTTATTGGAATATCATTAATATTATCACTCCTAGTGGAAAGCTTGGGAGCAGAGAATGAGAAAGATTCTACTTGAAACCGGGGATCTTTGAAATTATTAACCAGTTCAATCGTGTATCCAAACAATGCAGGACATAGAAGCACGAGGATTATGCAGGCAACAATAGCACAGATTCTACCGCATGGGGATTCTTGGGTGGGTCTGGGGGCAACTTGATCGGCACCCATGAATTGTCGATTATCAACTATGGGAACCACAACCTGTCGGAAGCCATGTTTAGATGGTGCAGAAGAACTCATCTTGACTGAGTATGTTTGCACTTGGCAATTGGAATGTTAGCATGATTATAGGAGATTTGTTTAGCATATTTATAACATAATCATAGTAGATTTGTTTAGCATAATTGTAGCATAATTATAGGAGATTTACTTAGTATAATAGCAAATATTTTTATGTATAAATAGATATTTTATTCCTATATAAAAAATATTATATACACAATTTTTCTCTGTCATTTTTTCTGTTAACATGGAAATTTATTAATCAGGAGTTGAGGCTAATTTATTTATTTATGTCTCAAGTTCTCAACTAGTGGTACATTTCAGCATCAACTTTCTGTTTCGGCGATGTTTGGTTCTCTAGCAATAGAGAGATAAGAGTTCTAAGTCGACCCAAAGATATGCTTGGTTCTCTAGCAATACAGATTGATGTGAGATAGAGTTCTAAGTCGACCCAAAGAAATTAATGGGTAAAGATCGATCCTATAAAATGATGAAAATCCCTTTTCCTATGCCTCATATTTTGGCAACTGGTGGGTCAATCTTTTACTAGGTTCTTTCACAAAATAAAAATCAAGAAGAAATTATATCAAACGTGGAGTCAACATGTAAATTATCTCCATTTGGTAATCGTAGAAACGCAAATGGATTTAATCGAATATAAGTCTATGCATGTCAAATTGTTGGGATTAGTCAAATCCAATCCAAATTCATTGTGTTTTTCATTGGTATCCATCTAACATCTTAATGCATACCGCATAAAATAATATGGGTTGAGGTAGGGGGTTGATTTTGTGTAATTCAGGCCCATACCCGTATTGACATGCACATTGCACACCTTAATTGTTATAATTAATTGATGAACTAGTATAATCATGTCCTATAATGTTTTATGAGAAAATTATTCAAAATGTCCTTCACATTTTATAGAATGACTTTTTTCGTCCCTCACTTTTATTTTACGTACCTTACAAATTCACATTAGTCAAATTTGGTCAATACCTAGGTTTTCAACTAGTTTTTGGTCGGAATTCACCACATACCTTGCATGTGATTATTTTTTAGGGATAAAATTATCAAATTAAATTTTACATAATCAGATTCATAGTCCCTCACATTTCACAAAATGAATTTTTTCATTCCTTATTGACCATGTGTATGAATAATTTTTTTTAACCTATGTATATATCTATTTGATTTCACCTTAACAGTACGCATAGCATATAATATATTTCTATTTAATTTCACATAAACAGACTAATTGTAGTTGTACACATACTATTCAATAGATATATACATAAGTTTAAAACTAACAATTTTGTTTTAAACTCACGTATATATCTATTTGGTTTCACGATGTGAACCTATTCAATGTTTGTGGCCATTTCTCTTGTGGTAATAATTCATTTATTGAGTTGTACAATAAGATCATCTCTAATTAATGGGTTCTAATTCGAATTCTATAGTCATGCTAACAAATTGTAATTTAAATCGAAAATTTCTACTCGACACTCTTAAGACCAACAGTTGAATTATTTGTATTGTAATTGTTTTAAGATTTCAAAGTGCCAATCACTTCTTTTTATCATACTTTTCCTTTGTTTATTTTTCTGTCCCAATTTAATTCGATATAAACACTCAATAATGTTTAGCATTAAATGTCTTCTTTGTTTTCAATTTTCGAGTAAAAAGAAATAAACATGAGTACAAAACTAACAATTTTTTTAAACTCATGTATATATCTATTTGATTTTACCTGAACAATACATTAAGGAGAAATCAAATAGAGATATATTACATGATATTCATATTATTTAGGTGAAATTAAATAAATATATACATAGGTTTAAAAAAAACTATTCGGACACATGATCAATGAGGGATAAAAAATTCATTTTGTAAAATATGAGAAATAGAAAATTTTATTTTGTGAAATGTGAGGGACGAAAAAATTTATTTTATGAAATGGGAGGGATTATGGATTGGATTATGTAAAATTTGATTTGACATTTTTGCTTTTTAAAAATGATCACATGCTGATAGATTCCGATAAAAAAATTAGTCGAAAACCTAGGTAAGGATCAAATTTAACTAATGTGAATTTATAAGGGACGTAAAATTATACTTTTAAAAGTGAAGAACGAAAAAAGTCATTTTGCAAAATGTAAAGGATGTTTTGAACAATTTTTCCATGTTTTATTACCTAAAATTTATGAATCAGGGGTTGAGGCTAATTTATTTATTTATGTCTCAAGTTCTTTATACTCTCAATAACCAATTCTTTTTCATCAATCACTCCAAATAATAGTTGCAAATCAAAATATTCAGCCATATTAAAAGTTTTCAAAAGTTTTTGCATCATCAACAAACCTAGCAAATTATAAGGGAAATAAGTTATCCGCTCCACTTGTTGTGTTTATGCACCTCTATCTTTTGTTCGTGATTATTTGAATTGGATAAAATGCGCTTATTTTTGGCCTCATATTTTGGAAACCCATGGAGATGTTTTTTTTAGTTCTTTTATATAATGTTAAACAAATAGGAATATTAGGACGTGAAAAGTGGCCTCAATAAATTGGAATATTGTCCATCACTAATTATTTGCAAAAAGACATATACCCCATGAGATTTGTTTATCAAAATTTCACTGCACTTGCACTCTCCACTGATTAAGAAGTTACATCCTTTCTTTTATATATTTGTCAAGTTGGTTTTAGTCTTACATCATTTGGTATACTTTTCTACTAGATTGGTGTACATTAGTATTCGATGTAACTTGAACACTAAAATGGGTGAAATGATACACTTGAGATTTACATCAACCAAATAGTATAACACTACATGAACGAATGGGTGAAAAGATACACTTGAGATTTATATCAACCAAATACGGTAGCCATTAACAAATGAATGTATAACAAAAAAATCCTTTACCAATGGTCCCGTGGAAATAATAATGGCTTAAAAAAAAATTTGCGCCACTTTGGTGTCAAGCTAAATTTTTTTTTGGGGGGTACTATTATGATGTTCACCATCTGAAGTACCTTTTTTGGTATGGGTTAGGTGATTCAGAAAAAGTAAGTGTAAATGAGAAATTTCGAATTCCAATTCTTCCACTTATACTATGAAAAAATTTTGAAAAATGCTATTAAAATTTTTTACCTCTGTTCTAAGGGAAAAAAATGCCGTCAAAACTGTTACTTGTTCGCCCGAATTATACAATTAGTGGTGGAAATTCGGGATGGAAAACACGAGACTATAATTGATGTAAAAAATGAGTTGTATAAAATAGGTCAATCCATGGGTTGATACAATTAATCTGTTTACTAACACATAAAACTCAGTTTTCTCCTAAAACTACACCAAGAAATAGAAAGAATATCTCTTAGCTTATACAGTTTTTCTCTTGCATAGCTTTGCAATTCTTTTCTTTAAAAGTTTTTCTTTCTCTATGAAACAAAAACATAATTAACTTTTTTTTTAATGAGACGCTAAAGCATTCAAAAAATTAAGAGAACATCACACAAAGAATGAAAGAGGCTCAAGTTTTACTCGTTTGCATAACTTCTATGTAAAAAAATTAGGAGTCAAATTGGACGACACGACGACATGCCAACTTGATGGTCCTAAAAACAGTTCTTGCACCCAAGTATCTTTGAACTGGTTCCATCACTTGCAAACAAAACCTTGATATTTAAGCAATCAAAATCCTTATGAATCCAATTTTTACCTGGCCATAATGGATTAACGTGTCGGTGTCGAACCCGCAACTTAACATTAAAATCCCCGATTCCTCCTCGCAAATCCTTTGAGATCGCTCTGGCAGCCGATTCAGTTACACCTGCAAACAAGTGATCATTGAGATCCTGCAAACATGCTTGTGATTCAGCAGCCAAGGTAGTTGTGTTTTTGGGTCCTTGACGCAAAGGCGCAATCCTGGTAGAGCAAAGATTCTGGTCGGCCTCGTAAAATAGCGATACCTCAAGGCCATCATAAACAATATGGCTTCGTTTGTTAGGATTCGTGACCATAATTCCCATAGTCCAATTTGTTGAAATTTGAGAATTAGAAATGTTAGGAGGGGACACTGAAATAGAGTCAATCTGAAACTCGGGAGAGTAGTTAGTATAAACACTATAAGCAGTGACAAACCAAATGAAAAATGGCATTCCTGCAATCACTCCTAGAACGAAGAGAATCCATACTATGGCGAGACAAGGAAGAAGGCAAGGGTGAGGACGTAAATCGTCATGGACAAGATGGTTGTTTGGGTGGTGGTGCACGACGGTGTTAGGTATTGGAACAATTACCGGTTGAACATCCACGGCAGGGTAAGAGATGCGCTGCGCTGATTGTTGGGCGGCTGTTCGTGGCCATCCTCTGCATCGAAGGAACTCATGCTCTCGGACTATTAAAAAAAAAAACGCGTGTATCGAATTAACTATGTAATATGTATTATATAGAGGAAGGATCCGTGTCACGGCCGAGTTGTCTTGTTCGGGCTTTTCTCAAACAAAAGCGTAGCAAGGAGCACCTTAGTCCCAGGTTCTTGGGATAAGGCCAGAACTTGGATTCAAAAGGGACTCTACTTGTAGTAACTTAGTGAGATTCGTACTCTTGAATGTGACAACTACTATGGGGTTAGAGGATAAGCTCAATATCCTCATAGTCTATCAGATGAAGACTTTTATAAGTAATAGAAGGTTGAGCCAAGAAAAGGTACACAATTCAATACACCAAATTCCTTAAGCTGGTCAGACATCTCAGAGAAAATGTCTACTGACTAGTGACTGCAATACTGGCAATGGCATCTCGACCGACTCTTTTCTGCTTCTTGCCTTCTTGCTTGCTAGGAAGTTGGAACGGAACATCACCTTCGTTTGGCTTTGTTTTAACCAACAAAGTATAAATAAAACCAAGCATCAATTCATGATCTTTAATGAGGGTACTAATTGCATGGTTATGTCATCTAAGCCGAATATTTAACAGAATGAACAATTGAATGCATATTCGTAGTGTAGCCCCGCGGATTGACCTTACGTGTACCAAAACATTGGCAAAATTTGATGCATTTGCTCTAGTTTTTGCTATCCAACACTAGAGGATAACAAATCGCTCTAATGGTTTGGATTACTTAATAGGTATTTATATTTATAATGTACCAATTATTAAATATATTTTAAATACTATATATATTTATAATGTACCAATTATTAGATAACAATCATTGATCATTTACAAATTCAAATACCTTTACAATATCGTAAACAATTAAAGAGGATTTCAAATCTTTCGTCAAATCCCTCAATCCAAATGCAGCAAGAAAAATGCTTCACAATGAAATCCGCTATTGCCTTTGTATGTTCTGGATTTGGGAAATTAGTGTTTTTAAAGTAATTATATCTAAACAAGTGTGATGATTTAGAATAATGATTTGTTCGCTCCACCTTTTAGTTTTACGCAGTCCTACTTTTGTTTTTTTACCGATTTAAAATGAGTAAAAAAAGCGCTTATTCCTAGGCCGCCTGATATGATGTTAAAGAACCATCTTCTTAAAATTCTCATCGATCGATCCTTTCAAATATAATTTATTTTCTTTATTCATGGGTCAAAATCACCATCGCTGTTAATGGAATGAATAGGTTGTTTTTTTTTTTTTTTCTCTTTTTGTCAAAAACCAACCAACTATTGAGCCCCTGGTTGGTCGAGACCGGAACAAATTTTCCCTCTTCCAAAAAAAAAAAAAATCTATTTAAGGAGTAACAACTTATATATTTGTATGCGCTTATAATTCTTAAAATTACCATATAATGCTATCACTTTGCTTTTTTTTTTTTTTTTTTTACTAACTAGTTCTCTCACATAATAGAAAACAAATATGAATTTTATTAAGCAAAAAGTGGAGTCAACATGTAAATTATACTTCATTACTAAGCGGTTAGTTGATCCTCTTTTATGTATTGAAAAAAAAATTACATTAGATGAGATTATGATTCATTGGAGAAAATAACACGGTTAGTTGATCAGTATATGATGTCACACTCTTCGGACTTCTTTATTTAGGATTGGGTTTTAGTAGTAGGGAACATGAACGCTCTTTTACTTTTGTTATCACTTAGTCTAAGCCGCAATTTAGCTTCACTTATTCAGCTATGGTAGGATTTTAGACACAAAACAGGCTTCATTGTTTCCCAGATTGATAAAATGCTTCCAAAAAAAAAGAAGAAGCCATTTTCTATTCCAATGCAGGTCAAAGCAACCTCAGAGTACAACTTTCTTGCAAAGAAAGAATAGAAAATTGGCAAAGAAAATTTGAAGAAGTTTATTTTATATAATGTATTAAAAACATGGATTTAGAATGGAGGGGTGTGAATTTATCCCCTTCCAACTTATTCATTTTATATAATGTAAAACAAATAGAAATTTTAGGACATGAAAAGTGGAGTCAATATGTAAATTATTTTCCATCACCAATATATAACACAGACGATTGTGTTAAGTAAACGAGATCCTCTATCCATTATATTTGTTCATCTTCTTATTTAATGTAAAACTACGTAGTTCCACTTGCTAATATTGCTGACGTGGCACCTAACATTGAATGCATATATTTAGAGATGTTTGGTAAATGGTTTCAAATTAAAGGACAATGCTACAGTGCCTATAGTTATGGTAACGATATTAAGGAAACCTGCTATTACAGGTTTCTATTACCTTTAGTGACAGATCCAATTTTTTAGTGACTTTTTAAATATTATATTAAAATAATTAATATTAACTTTAGTAAGTTTTTAATTAAAACTAGTAAGTTTATGCCTGAAAGATAAGTTTTAGTCAAAATAGAAATTTACACTTTGAGTAATTTAATTTACTTATTATTTGACAAAATTTACTTATGGTTGAATCAAACTTACTAATACTAAAAGTAAAAAATGTTCATATTTAAGTAAAAAAGTTACCGGTTTCTGAAAACGATTTTGGGTTCTGAAACACTTCCGGGTATCATCTCTTTAAAGTCATCTGCCTTCTTATTACTTAGTTCTCAGTTCCAACGATACAATTGAATTCCCAGGCAAAGGATTCCACTTTAGTCCACACTTTCTCTTGGTTTCAATTGCATAAATTTTCTCACTTCCAAATTTTCATCTTCAGTTCCCACTTTCCCTCTATCCTTTCTCATCGATCGGTTGTTTTTGGGTGCTGCCATATGCGGATACAATAAAAGGGTTAGCGACGGTGGTAGCCAATCAAAGAGAGCAGTGCCGAGGTTAGTCCATAATGTCCACTTGAAATCGTTTGATTATATTGCTGTAATTTATTTATATTTCATTTGTTTTGTTTGTCAAGATTTTCTTACGAAATCAAGGCTGAGTATTTGAAGATTTTATTGCAATTTTGGGGCTGAAAATGTCCACTGAAACATCTAGGAAATGGTTGTAGTTTTGATTGTCTACGGGTAAAATATGGTTAATAGCCATATGAAACATCTAGGAAAGGACTTGAGACTAGGCGTTTAAGTTAAATGTGATTAATTTGTGAATGCATATAAGATGTTTGGTGAAATGTCAAAGAGAAATTTCTGTGTTATGATTGCTACTCGGTGCGAAAGGACTGAGAAGTGTAAGAATTTTTTCTGCCTGCAGTTCCACACTATTCTGGTCCATTGCCGCTGCAAGACCCCTGTTTGATGGTATAAATGATTACTCATTTTAGAAAGAAAGAAAGAAAGTAATTGTAATACTATAGCATGAATTTGAAATCTGCTCAGGAATGAAACAATAATATTATCACCATCAGATCAAGTGCCTGACCAATTGATGAAAGTTATTTGTCCACCAAATACTTTGTAACATGCTAACATTTATGTGCACATTAACATAAAGTACATGCCTATTAGCTCATGAGTGTGTGTACATGAACAAAAATCAAATGCCAAGTTTTTATTTCCCCCCTTTATTTATTTCCACATGCACCTTTTGGTTATCCATCGATCTGGTATAGATATTCCCCAGTTCCTTATAAAAGTCATGGTTCATGTCCCTAATCAACTTCTTAAACAGAGGAAGATTATAATGTCAAAGATAAAACTACTGATGACAAAGCAATGCAATGAATACTTTTCCACTAGCTCATGGATTCCGGATATAATTGTTAGCATAGCTAAAGCAAGTGACTTCAAGGCTCTAGGGAAAGTGGTGCAGGAGATACGAATAAGTACCACAACAAAAACTAAACTAATTCTTGTTTCAAATGACCACTATTGCCTATGTTTTAATAATGCATTAATTTAAGATTAAAGAAAGGTTACATGATTAATGGCTATCTTTTCCAGCATTAGTAATCCAATAAACTAATCCAGACCACTCTCCCTCCAATAAAAGCTTTCAGATAGTCAAAACAGAAAAGTTCCAATTAAATATCCTTTTTCAAATCTTTACTGATGCTCATAAGTAGGATCTTTGATTTTTTTTTTTGAGCCAAATTATCCTCCAATATAACAGCATTCTCGGCTACAGGGCTAAAAGGCAGTAAATTTCATTTTAATCGTAACTTCCTGCAATTGGAGTTACAGCTTTGGCGGTCAGATTTTACATACAATTATTTCTGACCAAAATTTATGTATTTCATGCATGTTGAAAAGATCCCTTTTGTATTAGTGATGATTTATTCTTGTTTTGAAAATTCTATTCAACAATTAACCGCATAATTTTGCTACACAAAATATACTACAATACTCTAAACTCCTGCAAAAGTGCCCGCATACAACAGTTTAGTTGAACGATTTTAGCTGACATGAAAGTGAAATAATAAAGAAAGATCAAGAAAATTAAATACAGACCTGTGAATCTCTGTCTTCAGTTTCCAATTACCTGCTGCTTGTTGCTCTGTGCTTGATGGAATGATTCAGAGACTAAAAGAGCGCTTCTATGAAGAAAAAGTTTTTTTTTTTTTTGGGCAAGGAATATTCCAATATAATCAGATTTAACTAAATGCCTTAATAGACAAGAATGTGATTGCTAGAGTTGTTACTTTAATAAAGGAAAAGAGCAGAGAAGGAAAAAAGGACTTGACAGTGCAGGCTATACGATCCTCCCCAAGGGAACCCAAGCCCCTTTAAATTCAAGAAAGGAAGATTATGAAATTGGGACAAAGTGTAATTCCTCAGCTGAAGCTAACTCAGGGGTCCCCTGTCCGCCCTTTTTCTTTTTGAAATGGTCCCTTGATCAACAGGTTTGGCGGCAAGGCAGCTAATGGTCAGAAGAGTTTTGGGAAAATTTTGGACATCGGAACCGTATTATATTACATGGGATTGAATCTCCCCCTTCTTCTTGGTTCAAGGGAAACTGAAACAAAATAGGAAACAGTGTTGCAAGATATCTAGGTAAAAGTATTCATTTCTCTTTTGTTGATAATATTGATCATCTACTTCAAACTGTTTGTTCTTACTCCTAAAGCTAGTATTGTTGGTTTACTGGGCACAGAAGGTTTGGACTCTCTAGGATTCTTGGGGTTCTGCTTTTGTATGGCGGCCATATGCTTTGTTTTTTATTTTATTACTTATTAAATCTCATATCATTCTTAGATATTTGAGAATATTATTAGATAAATTTAATATTGTCTTGATGATTGGAGAAGGGTGGTTTGGTTTCTCTGAGTTGTTGTTGTGGCTTTCAGCCTTATTCTGGTTTTTTATACTTATATTCTCAAAATTGGTACAGGTGGTTTACTATAGAAATGTTCCTCGCATGGCTTGTTCTGCTGCTAAAGCTTAGGGACTTGAAGCACGCATACGTTTTACTGTTATTATTGTCATCATTTGGTTATTTCCGCTTCCAAATATGCTAAAACTGAAAGTCATGTTCTTTTTCAGGACTGGATATCTCAACGGGATGGAATAAGTGAAAGGAAGCAGGGAAGATTAGCATTAATCATGGAATTCCATATGGATGGTTCTAGTTAAACATGGGGTGCATCGGACACAGTCTCGCTTTTGGTCTTAGTTGTTATAGCCTTATAGGTGTTTTCTGATTGCGCTACTACTCTTGTAGTTGTGACCCTCTCACATTTTGTTCAGCTTAGTCAGGGACTATTATGCAGTAGTTGTTCTAATGCTTAACCATGAAAAACCTCAGTGGTTTTATATAAGCAGCTACTTACTACATGCTACATTTTGCTGTAAAGTACTAAAGGGATTTGCCCTTACCACATTAATAGCGGTGTAACATCCATTCTGTCGTAGGAGCACATACTCTTATTTATTTCTGCGAGCATTAGAAGTTCCTTTTTATCCATTCGTTTCGGTGCGACCAAAAATAAAGTGTGTTGCTTTCCTATATAGACTGACGGCACTTTTATGAGAGAGCATCGGCCTTTGTGAAGTTAAGTGCTGTGATTTCCTCAGTAACCGATTAGCAGAAGTCCAAACAAATAGTATCTTCCCACGTCCTCTACGAATAAACAAGTAATCCACCTTTCTATTTAATGACAATCTGCCATTAGGAATAATGGGACAAACTAGTTTCGACTTTCTTTGTCCATTTATCGTAACCGAGGAAACAATAATTGTGGGGGTCTCATAAATACCTTCAATGAATCCGTAAAAAGGCTACCAGCTTTAGGTACTATGAATTCTTTGGCATAAAGAAATCCAAGCGTTACTAGTGCATCGACCTTTCCTACTCTAACTAAAATTAATGGCTAATAAAAGTCACCTTTGTTCTTATCTCTTGAATTCTTAACTGTTTCAAAATTTAATAAAGAATTCTATCACAACCACAACACTTTTGAATTCAAAACTACAAAAAGGCCTATCCTTTTTTTTTAAAATTTTGGGTTAAAGTTAGCAAAAGTTCTACTTATTTTCACCTTTCTTGTAAAAAATATTTTTTGTTGCAATTTCAAATTTTAGTTATTCATTCGACACTAGTACGGGCATAGATACGGATTAAGCAACCAGTTTGAGGAATAATATTTTTTATTATAAAATTAATTTGAATTGAATTAATAATTTGATATTTTCACAATAAAGTGTAATTTTTTTGTCATTTTTCAAAAAAATTTAAGAAATCTATGTTTTAGCAATTGTTGTCCTTAAAATTGTCTTAATTGAAGTTCGTTAAGAATAATTGAAGTTCCGATATCAATACTCTATTCAAATGTAAATATTCAACCTAAGTAACAAAATAAATGATAGCTTAACAAACGAAATATGCGTTCAATTGATCGTGTTCGAACTACATATTCTGTTAATGGTTAGTATATATGAAATTGTACTTTCCATTTGTAGAAAATTAATATGCATTTTATATCTACTAACGAATAAATTACCTATGTTTTGAACAAATCAAACCTAAACTTATGGTGTGATATGTATATAGTTGCTCACATTTATACTTATGCCATCATCCTTTCTTCCACTTGCTTTTTAGTAGTGCAAATTTCTTTTGATTATATTTAGGGGTGGTAATTTTCGATACGACCTGAAAATACAATATGAACCTAACACGAAATTAATTGATTCGGATTGAGGTTTCGTGGGTTCAGGTCAGAATCGAGTCGAATCCGACAAACCCGAAAAGAAAATGGGTCGAATTCGGGTCAAACCGTGGGTGACCCGATACGACCCGATCACCTGTTTATGAATTAAAAATTATTTTACCTAACTAAACTAAGTTATTCTTTTTTTTTCAAAGGCATTCATCACTTAACCCTAAATGAATTTATTTAACTTATTTGAAGTTGAAATTATTATATTTGGACAAATAATGTATTATATTATTTTTTACTTTTATATTGCTTTTATTTATTTTGTATTTGGTTCAGAATAAAACACTTTTACGGTGTTTTTAATTTATTTTAGATTAGGTTTGGGATTATTTATTTAATTTTTATTACTTGATTATGTAATTAGTCTTGTGCGAATTAGAAATTACAGTGATAAATTAATAAATTAAAATTACGTTTTGGGTCATTCGGGTCGTCCCGCCAACCCGACAACCCGAAATTTTCAGATTCGGGTCAGATATCCTGACCCGTTTCGGGTTGACGGGTCAAGTTCGCGTCAGACAGTTTTCTATTATACCTGGGTCTCAACTCGACCCGCCACTCCGATTTGGACCCGGTTGCCACCCCTAATTATATTGGTAAAAAAATAACATATTTTACAAATTATTCCAATTTATTTAGAAAATGTTACTAATTCCATTAGAAGCATTGAAATGTAATCATGGTTTATTAATTTTTTACTAAATATAAATACTACATACAAAAGGAAAATATATTTGACTTTGTTTTACTTTGATTAGAAAAACCTGTGGTAGAAATAACGAAATAGTAACAGGGGTGCAAATTTCAAATCAACAACCAACGTACACTTAATTACGATAATTTTGTAGTTGACCAAACTAATATATGCCATAAAGTAGTAAGATTTGATCATTTATAAATTGGCAATTTTAGCAATTTATATACCATTCACCTATAAAAATTATGATTATTATAAAATGCTATTTTATAATAATTTACATACTATTTGCCAATTAAAAGTAAGTTTCATAAAAAAAAAAGTGCATATAAATCCATACTTTAAATGATACAAAATATATTTGAATCTCACGAAACTTAATATGTGGGTAAATTTATTATAGTTTTCAAAGATTATGCCACATTAGTACAAATTTAACTGTTATACTTGTGACCTAGAAAATAAATTTATTAGAACACATAACCTTGATGAATGATACATACAATCATATATTATACATTTACGTTACCAGCAATTACTAACTATAATATTAAGTTTCAATCATTTTACTTAAAAAATCTTAGCATTATTTTAAATAAACTTCCTAATACTTGTTTCATATAAGTTTCTTTAAGTAAAATTGTAAATTTATGCCACAAACTAGTAAGTCTTGATGGTTAACCAAATTTACTATTCTATCAATAGGATTTACTTTTAATCCGTGAAAACTTACTATTACTTGAACTAAACTTACTCTCCAAAAAGTAAGTTTCGAATATAGAGTAGTAATATATTTTTTAAAAAACGTAACTTTCATTTTTATTTCAATTTACTTTTTAAGACATAAATAGGATAACACTTAGATGACCTTTTTCGATTTATTTTTTATTTGCTTTTAGCGACCATTTAATTATTTGATAGGTCTATCCACCTAATTAGGATAACACTTAAAAATAAGAAAGTAAGTTTTCTATCTAAAATAATAAGTTAACAGTAATAAATTAGTAACTTTTATACTTCAAAAGGTAAGTTGGAATAAATATTAAACTTACTTTTTAAATAAATAAATTACTACTTTATATCCCAAACTTACTTTTTAGAGAGTAAGTTTAATTCAAGTAATAGTAAGTTTTTATACATAAATAGTAACTCTTACTAATAACATGGTAAATTGATTAATAATCAAAACTTACTGATTTATGGGACACATGTGCTATTTTATTTTAAAACATATTTCAAACTAGTATCAGGAAATTTATTTGAAATAACGATAAAATGTTTTATTAATCATTAATTCTTAGTACCTTAGTTAGTAAGTACTCATAAGATACCTGTATAATATATGATTATAGGTATAATTTAAAAAAATTTATTTGTATATTTTAAAATACTATGAAAAATAGTTTGAATTTTCACATATTCTTGTAAATATGTAATAAAATTTTGTTGTATTATAAGTTTTAAATCATTTTCAATTTTTGAAAAGTTTGAAAGTTTGGATAACTGTTACAACAAATCTTCCTAGCTATATATAGAATATTACTTGTTTATATATCAAAATTTTTATAATTTTACGCCTATGAATATAATAAGATGATAAAGTTTTAATAAGTTTACATCTGAGACACAATAAATAATAAGAGTAAAAGCCTAAACAAATGAGAAATAATATAATAATAAAAATGACAAAATGTATAACAATTAATATAAGAAAATCAGTATGCTCTGGATTTTTTTTCCTTGGGAGATTGTTCATAAGAATAGGATCCAATAATTATAAATGAAAATCACATGCATATATAATCTATTGTAGAATTTAAATTACATTTAGTTCACGTATAAAATGGTCCTAAAATAATTAGTACACTATGATACAATGTTATTTTAACAACAAAAAATTTTTTTACTAAAAGTCTGAAATATACTTGACATACGTATGAGGGATACTTTACCATTTTTAGTATCTGACATCTAATCATGAAAGTTAATTTGAGAAAAACTATTTTTGACAATAGAATTATTTTGAATTTAACCAACAAGTTGAGATTTTTTAAACAATAAAAGTGAAATATTTTGGGAACTTAGTTGTTTATTTTCCCATAATTAAAAATTTAAAATATGACAAATTATTCTTACATATTTTATAAGGTCATATGCAAAAAAAAAAAAAAATTTCATAGTATATTTAAAATGCTTCAAACATATAACATTTATAAATGATATGTACAATTGTAAGTTTCTTTAAGTAAAATAGTAAATTTATGCCACAAACTATTAAGTTTTGATGATTAACCAAATTTACTATTCTATCAGCAATATTTACTACTAATCTATAAAAACTTACTATTACTTGAACTAAACTTACTCTCCAAAAACTAAGTTTCAGATATAGAGTAGTATTTTACTTCAAAAAAAAAAAATAGTTCCATATTTATTCAAGTTTACTTTTTGAGACATAAAAGTTACTAATATATCGAGTTAACTTACTATTTTTTATGCAAAACTTACTAACCAAAATTTTAGGTACTATTTCATTTAGATGACCAGTACAACAGGTAATCAAATGGTCGCTAAAAGTATTTTTACCTGTTATATCAGGTAAAAATAGTTTCGTTATCGTAACTGTCGTTACTTCAGACTTTTCCCAAATTAAAAGCAATCAGCAACCACAAGGAAAGTACAATCAATGCTAGCAAGACGGGGCGCGCCATTATCTTCACCGGAAGAGGGCAGCCAGGGTCAGGGTTATGGTCATGCACCACCTGGTTGTAGTTGCCACGAGGTGGGCGGTGCACGATGGTCCTAGCTATCGGAAAATTTCCCGGTCGAACGTCCACGGCCGGGTAATAGATGCGCTGATTATCCCGCGGCTGTGGGTGTCCAACTTCTGCATCGCCGGAACTCATTTTCCGAGTATGAGAAAAGAAAAAATAATAACAATAACAATAAAAAGTGCAGGATCTGTAGGAAATAAACCCAGCAAAAAAGCAATGAAGTAAAACAGACAAAGGAAGAATTCTTCGCGGCAGGGACCTTCACAGTCTTA